CTCTTTGGAGGAGTTTTGCTATAAAGGAGAAAATAAAAGTGGGACAGTGGATGAAAGAAGATCTGAGGCCAAGGAAGGAGTTACTACTATAATAGAACAGCTAATTATAATACCTGGAAACTTTGTATTCATGTATATGAAATTTGAATTTTATTTTGATTGACAATGAAATCTAAAATTTCATATAATGAAAAGTCTTCAGTTGGCTTGATAATCTTAGCAATAGCATTTATATTTGAGAAAGACTTAGTTAAATATGAGTTGGTCTATGCAAGATGTGTAATTTCAAAGTTTTTTTCCTTTGGTTTAATTCGGATTTGCAATTTCGGTTAACCCTTTACAATGAGAGTTCCCTCAAATGAATATTTACTGAGCAGTGATAGAAAACTTTATATTTAAAGAGTACTTATCAGTCTCGGTATTAGAATCAACATAAAAGAATTAAAACTGACATTAGAAGTGTAGGAGGTGATTAAAGAGATGTGGTCCCAGACCAGGGAAATGGCATCTCAAGTTGTCCTGAGGTGCAAACGGGAATCTCTCCTCAAGCTCTGCAGTACTGATTTGCAGCCCATCAGGCTAATTGACTCTTCCCCTTCTGATCATTTTTATCTTTTTGTACATAGAGACACTTATTTTGAACCACCTCCAGCATTCTAACAGCAGGTACTCTAGAACCTTCTGTCTGGGATGTATGCACCAATCTTCTTTACCTTTTTCCTCTGGAAAGCCCAGTAAGCAATGTTTCCCAGTCTCCCTTGCAGTTGGCAGAGGCAAAGAAACGCAAGTGGAAAAATTTATGCCATTTCCCGCTGAAGTGTGACCCTCCTAAGAAAACCTACATGGTCCACACTCTGTGCTTTGTCTGTTGGTCAGAAGCCGCAGATCCCCTGGGAGAGGCTGGGTCCTGAATGACTGCCGAGTGCAGCATGGCCCCTGCACAACGTTGTGCTCTGCTGCCAGCTAGGAACAAGCTTTTAGTACATGGAAGCTTTGGTACTTTGGAATTGTTTGTGACAGTAACGGGCCTACCCTGACTAAGGCATGCTTCTCCAGATGAGATGCAGTGACTGTGAACTTTGTATTTGGAACTTAGAAGGCCCAGAGGGGAAGGGTCCAGTGTGCACATTGTATAGTTTGGAAGCATCATGCTCTGGTTTTTGGATTTTTATCTTCTGACTTTTTGGGGGAGCACTGTTAGCACTGATGAACCTTCATCCAGAGGCAAACAACTGTTTTCTAATGACTTTATGTAGCTTCGCAGGGCCTGATACCTTTGAGAGGTGAAGCTCTCTTCAGGCTCCCACAGCTCTCATGGGACATGAGGTTGAGAAGAAACAAATATTTAGCAGAAATCCGATGTCAGATGCTTTTTCTTGCATTGCATTATTTAATTTTTATAATAATCTAAGGAAATCATAAAGTATCATAAAGAAGTATGATTAACCTCAATTTACAGAAGAAGAAATTTGTCCAAGATCATGGAGTTATGAAAGAGCAGAACCCTTCAAGCAAGGCCTTTTTGACTGAGAGATGCTTGCTCTTTCCACTTCGTAATTACTCTATTTCCCGCTGGGGAAGGAGGAAAGAACCTGAATTGAATTTGCTTATGTACACGGTAGTATAAGAGACACAACCTCCTCTTTCCTCTTGAGTGTATTTGTATTTTGAAGGAGGCGAGAAACAGAGAAGCCAATTGTTTACTTAAAGAAATGAATTGTAGGTGCTCTTGTGACTGAGCAGGGAGGAAGGAACTCTGCAGATGACCTGAGCCCAGACAGAGGGAAGCCACCGGTGGCTTTAGTTTTGGTTTAAGTGGAAGCTGACCTTTCTTTCCTCTTCAGCTCTTTAAAACACAGAATTGAAAGTCCTCATGATCCAGCAACTGGCCAGGAGGCTGAATGGTAGAGGTGAGAAGGTTTAGCATCTGATCATGTCTGTGGAGAGTCTCTGATTCTTTAGAGTTAGCCATGTTCAAGCCAAGAGAGGAGAGAGGCAGAACTGTTGTTAAGGGGGGAAGTGCAGTTCCTCAAGACCATCTTGACTATTTTAAATCTATAAAATTTGGCTTCCATGGAACACAACACCCTCATTTATGTCTGTTTGCTAACCACTCTACAGTTCAAAACATACTTTTATGTAGATTATCTAATTTGATCCCCGTAGCAATCTTGGGAGGTGACAGGGAAGGAATTATCATTCCATTTCCAGGTAAGGCAACCACGACCCAAGTTCTCTAACCTGAAGTTCAGGCTGCCTGCTTTTGATAGAGGGATCTAAGATAAACCTCACAGGCTTTGAAGCTGAAATCCATATTTGGAATGTAACTGTGGTCATCGATGACAGTCTCCAGCCTTGTCTGTTCTTTGTTCTACAAATGTCCAATGAATGCTTAGAGGTGTGTGGGGTTGCTTGTAGCATGTGTGTGTTCACTCTCATGACATCTGTATGCAATGGATGTGAAATTTACAAAATCAAGTATCAGTTCTTGTCTTAGTTCATTTTCTGCTACTATAACAAAGTACTGGAGACAGTGTGATTTGTAAAGAACAGAGGTCTACTTATGTCATGGGTTTGGAAAGTGGGAAGTCTAGACAGCATCTTACTAGCATCTACTAAGCATCTGGTGAGGGCCTTCTCTCTGTATCATAACAAGGCAGAAGGCATTGCATGGCTAGACAGAACTAATGTACCAGAGAGCTGTTCCTATAACAAAGCCACTCCTTTAATAGCCCATTAATCCATGAATAGATTAATTTATTCATTAAGTTAATCACACATCTATGGTTTAATCTCCAAAAGCAATTAACATATGAATTTTGGGGTTAAGTTTCCAACCCATGAAATTTTTGGGTACAAGGTTCAAACCATAACAGTTTTCAAAGCTTCAAAATCCAGCTGTCAACATAAAGATCATCAGTCAAATTTTGGAAGCTGTTCTTCAGAGTTGAGCTCTAGTTCTATGATGAATGTGGCACCCTGGTGTGTTCTTTGAAGAGTCACCACGTGCTTAAGTATGTTGAGGCTCCAAGGCATGAACATGTAAATAAACACAGTGATTCCAAACTTACTTAAGTATATAAAGCCTCTTTTTTGGTGTATCACTTGTCCATGTGGAGTGACAGAATATCTTTTGAAAATGTCAGTGCAGATGACAAGTTTTGCTGTTTTCTCTCATATATGGGAGCTGGTGGGGGAGGTGAAAGGACAAAGTGAGTGTAAGGTGGAAACTCTAAGAGGAAGGGGATCATGGGGAGGGAAAGGGAGGGTGGGGGACTGTAAAAGAGGGCGGATATGGTCAAAGTATGTTATTTGCATCTGTGAATATGCCACAGTGAAACAATTTTTTCTGTCTAATTGAAATGTATACACATACACACAAACTAGGATGACTAAAACAGTATGGTCCTAGCAATAAATATTTCAACGGAACAGAACCAAAAACCCAGAGGAAGAACTGACACACAGAGTAAGTTAGTATATAACACCAATGACAATGCATATTGTGGAGGACAGATATTTAGTAAATTTACTTGCATCAGAAAAAAAATATGTTAGATTCGTATAAAACTTCTTATGGCAAAGGACACTGTGAAAAATCAAAGGTTTAAATATAACAAGAAAATAATTAAAATAACAGGGAAGTTTAGAGTTAAAACAAAATAATCCCAGTGTAAAAAACACCCAAATATCCATCAAAGTAAAATAAAGTGAAAGAGGTAAGCAGAGGTGGGAATACAACAGTGGAACTGAATGAACGATAGCTGGGCACAGCAACGTGTTTAGCCTCATATGCATGACAGTGGGGGTGGGGGCTGGGTCCAGAATCTTCTAAGAATCACAGAATTAAAAATGAGCAAAATAAACTGTTTTTGTTAAGGATACGTATGAATGTTATAGCATTGTAAAGAAACTGAAGGTAATGATTATTACAAAAGCGAGATAGCCATTATTTCTGGGCACTGAGAATAGGGAGGGCACATGGGACCTCGGGTGGTGACGGTGTTGTTTTTCTTGACTTAGTTACTTTCTGTCTGGGTGTTTATTTGGTGGTTATTCATTAAGCTTCTCACAAAGATTTATGAACTTTCCTGTTTGACTTTTACGTTGCACTCCATGAAAAATTATAAAAAGTCCAGTTTTAGCCACATGTCTTGGGTACATTTTTTTTTGAGTATTTTTATTTTTATGCCCTTCTTTCTAGATGACTCTAGAGTCATAGTTTGTAACATTTATAGGAGTCTCTTTTCTCCAGGGATCCTACTGTCCACTTCATATACTAGATATAAAGATGCTATAGTATCAGTAAATAAATATACTAGAGAAATTACAGAAAGTCATGTGGTCAAGTGGCTGCTGTCCAAACGCTGTTCTGTTGTTCGTGGGTAAACCAGGCTTTACTGTTCTTCTAATATATTTGTAAAATTTTTATTCATCATCATTCTTATTGTTGTTGCTATTTCTCAGGACTGGGGATTGAATTCAGGATCACACTTACCACTGAACTACACCCCCAGCACTATTTTTTTTTCTTTTGTTTTGAGATGGAGACTCACCAAGTTACCCCAAACTTGAAATCCTCCTTTCTCAGCCTCCTGGGCAGCTGGGATTACACGTGTGCACCACCATGCCCAGCTCCAGTCTAGTATAAATTAAATTTAACTTCAAGATTTGTAGAAAACTAATCTCTAACCCTAGGCTCATAAAATTTAATTTATTAACTACCGGATGGAATGGCTTTTACCTTTCAAGACTGTTGTGAGAATAAAATGAGGTGCTGAATGGTAGCTACTATGAATTTAATGAAATAAAGCAAATAATAACATAAATGGTTACTCTGGAACCAGATAGTAACATTCTTCCATTGCATAAATTTAAGGAAAAACTGTAACAATGCACTTAATGTAGTTATCTATTTTAAACATCGTCCTCTCATTGTTTGACTGTATTTCTTTTCTTTTTTGTTGGTAGATTCTAATTTTTCCCTCCCTGTATCCCAGGACTTTTATTTATGCATTGCTCACCAGAGGGAGACCTTTTCCAGTTGTCCTCCTTTTCAGAGGAAGTATCTTCTGTGTTGGAAATGGGTTCCTTCAAGCCTACTATCTGATTTACTGTGCAGAATACCCTGAAGAGTGGTATGCTGACATCCGGTTTAGCCTGGGTAAGTGAATCTGACCAGCTCTCACCCACTACCCAGCTGATGCCCCTTTCCAAGGTGTACATCACCACAGCCTCCCTCCATCCTACTGTGGTAACCTCTGAATGATCCTGTTCTCCTCCTCTCACCCCCCCTACCCTGGTCTTCCCTCAGTGTGGAACTCATATAGAGGGATCTCAAACCCATCTAATAGATTTCCATTGCTCTCAAGACCATATGCATATTCCTTACCACAGCCTGTGAAATCAAGAAGTTGTTCCGAGGCTCCAGCCACATCCTCCTGCTTCTCTCTCCCTCATGTCCTGGGCTAGCCCCAGGACCATCCTGCTGTGCTGGAAACAGTTAGCCTGTCCTGCCCAGAGCCTTTGTGCAGGATTCTCCCCCTGCTTAGAATGCTGTGCTTCATGTGTCCATGGAACTTGGTCCTCATTTTGTTGAGGTCTCTAACAATTTACAGCACCTCAAAAAGACTTCCTGACTGCCTATCTAAAAGAATGGAAGATATTGATCATTGGTTTGTTTTTTAATTTTTGACTCAAAAAAAAAAGGACAATACAGATTATTCCTAATCCCTCTTAGTATCACAAATCAGATTCTACCCATCAATTTTATACTTCTGGATCTGTCTCCAGAACATGGGACAACTGGACTCTCTTCTCCCTAAACTGTATTAATTTCTGTTTAGTCCACAATTGCCTGGACTTCCAGAGCTCCAAAATCAGTTTTCTGCCTCCATCCTGTCCTTCCACAGCCTGCTTACATTTTCCATTCAGCAGTCAGGGTGAACACTCAAACCCACAAATGACCAAAGGGTTTGTTGCATGAATATAGATACATATCCACCATAGACCACACCACAGACACAAAGACAAAGAAACAAACAAAACAAAGCAAAACCAAAAAAACAAGGGAGTGCTCTGTGCGTTCATGCAGAGACACCTCTGGGATATGTGGTTAAATAAAAATAAATTAAAGTGTGAACTGTGTGTATAGGATGCTATTTTTTT